ACAGTGGGAGTCAAAGAGGATGACCAAAGGTGGTAAATAACTTCCCTAACAGGAAGGTGTAAATGTGGAAGTCTTCACGATGGGCATGAAATGGCTGAGAGAGGGAGCTGGAGACACTCTAGAACTTTGTAAAACTATGAAGTGGCTGAATAGGAAATGAATGTTTGCAGTCTCTCTCAAAACCAGAATGGGCGACACTGAACAAAAGTAGCAGAAAGCACATCCAGAACAAACAGCTCACTTCTCCAAGCTGATTTGGAGGAGGGCCCCTAGAGAAAGGGTGTGTTGCTTTGGGCTGTGCACCAGGAGGAGAAGGGCCTCAGCATTTCCATTCCTGTTGAGGTCACTCTGCCTGAAGTGTTGGTTCTAACACCCTTCTAACCTTGACGTGGCACCAGCTCATGGAGTCTCCTCTCTCAATGCCCAGCAGGCTGTGGCAGAAGGGGAGCAGCTGTCGTGGCTCTCAGAGAAGAGACTCACATTGCAGAGCCTGGAATGTCTGCAGCGAACAGTTGCAAGGCTGGAAGATGAGAAGGTGGAGCTGAAGCAACAAAATGCTGAGCTCAGGAGGACTCTTGAGCAGGTAAAATGGGCTTTTGCTTCCTCTGCAAAACCTCATGGCCCTCTGAACCACAACATGTTTCCCCAGGCAGCACTTTGGAGTCCTGTGCTTGTTTCCTTCCCTCTCCTTCCTGCTGTGGGCACACCCTCTGCATTTTCCTCTCTCTTCTGGCACCCCGTGGCCTTCACAAATGGACCTTCACTGCAGTGCCACCCTCCTTTCCCCAGACACACACTTGGCTCTTTTCCATAGCCCACATAGCCCTTTTTTTGTTCTCTGGTGCAATTAAGGGTCTCTGAGCAGAGATCTCCTTACCTCAGTGCCCAGAGGTCCTTTTGCTCCTTGGTTGGTGGCAGGTTTCTGTGACCCCTTCTCCCATCCAATGTGCAGGTGGAGCATGAGCGGAGGAGGCTGAAGAGATGTTTTAGGGGTCAGATTCTCCCAGGTGCCTGTGGATTGTCTCACTCCCAGTCTGATCAGCACAAAGTGTCCGCCTCTAGACAGGTGAGAACAGAATCTTCCTTGGTGGGAGGAGGCTCTGGCTGTACAGAGGGACAAGGGCAAATCCCAGTGGCAGCAGCCCCCCAGCAGAGACCTAATGGTAGTCAACTGTAGACCATGGCCCTGACCAAGCTGCAGACTAAAATGAAATCTTTGTGTTTTCTTCACAGGAGGAGTCTCACGCTCACTGCAGTCAGCGATTAGCTGAGTTACAGAACCAGGTGAGTAGAAAACCTCTGCTTAAAAGCTGCTGTGGCTCTACTGATGGGCCCAGCTTTGCAGGATGGTTTTGGTTGGCTGTCAGGAAGTGAATGCTCCAGGCAGTGTCAGTCCTGCGCCCGTTGGCAACAACCAAACAGCATCCTTCACCTCGGTCTTGTCTCCGACTTGCCTAAAGGTCAGGCAGGCTGGGATAGGGGTGGTGGGAAATTCAGAACACTGACCTGAAAAGATCATAGAATCATGCCATCCTTTAGGCTGGAAAAGCCTTCTGAGATCATCTAGTTCAGCTGTTAGCTCAGTACTGTCAATCCCAAACCTGAACTGTGCCCCTGAGCGCCACTACTCCATGTTTTTTGAGCACTTCCAGGGATGGTGATTCCACCATTCCCTGGGCAGCCTGTTCCAGGATGTTCCTCTCTGTCTCCTGTCCCCATTTTCCCTTGTTTCCATTAGCAGTGGAGAGCTCCAGGGCTCTGAGGCAGTGCCAGAGCTGAGAGCCCTCAGGCCATCCCCAGTCTCCTCTTGCTGTGCTGTGCTAATCACCACCCCACTGTGGGGCTCAGTCAGAGACTCAGCCCTGTGAGGGTGTTTGGTTTATCAGTGTAAGAAGGTTCATTCCAGATGCTGAACCCTGGTGCATCCTTTGACTGCCTGGCAGGGGGTCAAACCGAGCAGGAGGTGGGAGCAGCTCTGCCCCCACACCAGCCAGCCCAGCAGCCACAACCCCCTGGGGTCAGGAAAGAGCAGAGTTTGAGGAGTTCCAAGGCTTCAGCACTGCTTTGAGGCCCCTGGGCTTTGTTCACCACGTTCTTCTGCGCTCATTTTGGGGATGCTCTGAAGTTTGGGAGAGGCAGAGTTTGCTCCCTTTCCCTGGGCCAGCTGTCCAGGTGC